AACTTCCACATCAACACAAAAGCAGGAGAACTAAACCACACTGCAATATTGCAGCTCTTTCTTCTTATTGCAGCTGAGAAACGTATCTGGACAGGCCGCTGTGACTGCAAGATTTAATGCCTGCCTTACACCAAGGCCTACAACACCCTTTCAGGAGTTCCAACGCTTCAGCAGTCATTGTGCCAAAAGCTGCTGTCTGCAACAGGAGCTTTTGGACAAAAAGGCTCCTTTCTTACTCTCATCACTAATTTATTATTTGCTTTGTTCAGAAGATTTGAAAAGGAGAGATTAAAAAAGGAGAAAAGTATAAGCAGGTAGAGATTGCCCCAGTATCTACAGGCTACTATAAAATAAAATGACAGAACCAAGTAGTAAAGAGGACTGAGGACCTATTTTTAGCATCACTTAAAACTGACAATGTTCCCATTCCCACCATCATTAGGGTCTCCAGGCATCAGTGCAATAGAAACTTTTATCACTTATTACAGAGCTATGATGACATTAGTTAGCAAATTAAAGGTGAGTAGCCAACAGCAGAGGAAGGGACTACCATGTCCCAGAGGCTTAGATTTTAGGAAAGAGTAGCAGATTAATGCAGTGCCTCAGTACTTAAGTTCTTCAAAACCACAATCCTGGAGAAATCCCTGAAAGGCACAGCTGTTCTGTTCGAATTTGCACAGAAATCGAAACAGCAAAATATGCTTCTGATGCATCTCAGATGTCAACAGTAATAATGTAGTCTTTTTTTTTCCTCTCCCTCTTTTTTTAATGATAGTCTTCTCAGAACCCATTAAAAAAGCTCCTCCTAATGGGTCTGCAAAACCCACTTTAAGCAGCCACTAATTTTAGATACATGAACAATAGACCAGCAGCAGTTGCAAAAGAGTAAAATGAGTTTAAAATTTTGAAGGCCAAAGTGAAGATCTAACCACCCTGTTTATTTAACTTAAAGGTAATCAGACCACTCACCAACAAGGACCTCCACGGCAGCTAAAGAATCATCCTCCCAGTCCATTTCTTCTTGCTTTTCCTCAGATCCCTCCTTCAAGTTAGATGTGACAGGATAGAATTGTTTCCATTCACCAATAAGCTTTTTTGTTGATGAATCAGAAAGCTTAAATGATTGCCCTGTGAGTGTGCCATTTAATCCAAAGGGACTTAGAATAACTGAAAAGACAAATACAAATACATTAGAGACTACATTTAACCAAACTGAAACAAAAAAATAATGATAACTTATTTCAGCCATTCTCCAGACCAAATAAACCACCTACACTTAAGTCAGAATGCACCTTGATCATATTTTGCTACACTGAACCTCAAGCTGTTGATAGTAGGTATGTATCATTAAATGTATACGCACTGCAAGAGCCAACATACCATAGTAACAATTACTGATTCATCTGTTAATTAACTAATTAAACAAATAATGAGCAAATTTTCATCCTGGTTACCAATGAACAGGTATACAGCTGGGATAAATTTCAACCATTTCAAAACCATTTCAAATTCCGATGTTTCCCCATCCCTTCACTCTGTTGGCACAGTTACAACTGCAGTGCACACACCAGGAAGCAAGCTCTTTCATGTCGATTCTTGTCCATATTAGGACAGCCCAGCTGCTGCTAAATTGCATTCAAAGGAAGCAAGTTTGAACATTGAGCATTAACAAGCAAGGGCAGCACGTGGTCGTGCAGGAGAACCCATTTCCATGGCCAGCTCGGGGCATCCAAGTCGGGGAATGACCAAAGAGCCATTGCATGAAGCCGACTGGCCCATCGCTCCCTTGGCTTTGAGTGGAACCAAAGGAATTTACAGGCGAGGAAAGGCCAAATAAAAGGGGAAGGGGAGCAAACAGGTTAAGTATTCATGTTAGAAATGGATTTCTGAAAGAACTGTTGAGGAAGATAGCTGAGGGTTAAAAAGGACATTGAAAACACTGTTGAAAAAGTAAAATATTTTAAGTCATCAGCTGGACAGTACTTGGAAATTAAGCTTATTCTGTCAAGAAGAAACATGGCTATAGTGCCAGGAGAATAATATTGACCTCATCCACCTGCAGGAGATTGAGACATCAGCTTCTTTGTAGCTATGTTCAACACAAGGGAAGCTTGGTTAGAACAGTCAACCAGCACAGAAGAGATTATCTCCACTCCCCACTTCCAGGCTTTGCTTTAAGTCTCCATTCTGATAAGATTGATTACATTTAGTACTTACAATTGACTGGCAAAACCTACCTTGAAAAGGGCTGTTAGACTGCTGGGCAAGAGTGAGGTGTTCTTCACTAAGCAGGTACACAGGCTGATGCTGGCTGATTTCCACACTGGTGCAAACGTTGCTATCTCCATGTAGGAAGAAGGTGAAGGAGCAGGACAGGTGCTCACTAGAGGAAGAACATGGAAGGAGAGAAGAAAAAAAATATATCACTTAAATTGATAAGTTGATGATAACCTCACTAGTTTGAAGTTGTTTCCTTCCAAAATATTTGTTAACAAGTACTCAAAAAACTACCCTTCTGTCTAAATAATAAACAAATACTAAATCCATGTTTCCTTACAATATTTACAAAGTACTCCAGGATTAGAGTCAAGGACAAAGACTGATCAGGGAGAAAGCCAGAAACACTAAGTGTTCAGTCTCTTTAGACTGAGATTTTAGGTTTTGAAGTCTAGAGGAAATTGCAAGTCAATTTAAAGAAAGCAAACTGTAACTATAACATAAACAAACATCTCTAAGTACATCTGTCAAAGTAGTCCATCATAGATCCAAATCATTGGTTGTTTTATGCAAAATATATTCTACTAATTTTAAAATTTAAATAAGGGACAGGAAGAGAAGGAGAAGTCAAGGAAAACAGAAAGCTTCAAATTCCTGCCAAGCCACACGAAAAGCACATCTTCATACTCCATTCCACCCAAGTAAGTTACCTCTTATTTTATTTATTTAAAGGAACTTGTACAGGCTTGGCAATTCTGAGTTATATTAGCTTCAAATTACCTCAAGTGTCTGCCAGACCAAGAAGACTCTCATAGGAAAAGGACAGATGTTTAAGAGCAAGAAGATGTTATTTACAAATTAGGTCCACCAAAGCATTTGAGTAACAAAAGAAAGAGTCAAGGAGAACCTTAGAAAGTACTGGGTAGACTACTGAATAGAAAATAACTCCTTTTTCATGAGAAAGACAGTACCAAGCACCTGCTTTGTCTCATTAAAACAAAAGAAAAAAATGGAAAATGGGAAACAAGTTAACCCAAGCGAGGCAAAATAACAGGCACTAGTGCATTACGGCCAGATGAAATGGAGAAGTCCCTCCGTGAGCTACAGTCACCCTAAAAAGACTGTCTGAAGGCAACACCACTGTTTTTCCAAAAAAGAAAATGAGACCCTATCAACTAAGAAGTACAGGACTGAGCACATGCTCTCCTGTGAAATGCCTGCATTTAGTAGACTGCAGAACGAGAACCCAAAGTGTACCTGAAAGGGACACGAAGAGGCCTCGGGGCCACTGAAGCACTGGCAAGCTCCAAGCATCTAGACAACCCCATTAACCCTACTAAGCCCCCAGGCACAGCTGCATTTTTAATGCATTTTTAAATGCCATTATCCACTGGGATGCAGATAGTAGGGCAGGAAAGTTGGGGGTGGTGTCTGGACTTCAGGAATGTGGAGTTTTCCAGACCTCAGCTCACCCCGAGGACTCAGAGCAGCCACCAGGGCTGCTTCTCACGAGCGCTGGGAGGAGGAAGCCAGGCTGCAGTGTCACACGGAGGGCTTCAGTGCCAACAGATTTACATTAGGGAACTAAAAGCCTTCAAGGATGAAAGACCCATGGGCTGTTCAGGAAGAAAAAAAAAAAAAAGAGAGAGAAAAGAAAAATAGCACAACACAGTATGATTTATTCAAATGAGTCAAAGCAGGTCGTGCAGTGAGCTAGCTGGGGAGCTGCTCCGCATGGCTCGCCTGGACCATACGGATTCTCCAGGTGCACCAAGCACGCGGGGACACGGCAGCCACGCGGTGCCCTCCTCGCGGCACGAGCGGCGGGACCCACACACACGAGTGGGTTATCCCTCTTCACTGACACCTGCGCAGCACAAGGGCTTCAGCAACCCAGCTCCAGACACCCTCTGCGGCTGGAGCAGCATTCTGGGCTGGAATCCCAAGAAAGTTGCGTTTCCCAAGTCCAGCAATGAGCAAGCGAAGCATCTTGGTGTTGACTTGTTTGAGTGAAGCCAAGAGTCCCAAGGGTAGCAAACAGCACCGAGTTCCAGGATGGAAATCTGATTAAACTTTAATCTTTATGCAAATAGCCCAAGGAAGACCATGTCAAATTAGATTTTATTTTAAAACCATATAGGACTGGTAAGGAGAAATAGTGGGTAGTGGTGTTTGTCCAGAATGACAGGCAGCAACTTAGAAGCCCAGCAGAGACAAGGCCACGTGTGGCAGTAAGAGCACATGTTCACTGAGCACTCCGTAAACGTGATTTTGCTACGTCTCGTGTAAACACAGCACTGCTGCCCCCGTGAAGGACGGCCATTTGGAGTATGATCGGGAAGAATTCAGATAAACCAAGATAAAGGAAAGCATCAGTCTGATAGCTGCAGTATTTCAACTAGATACAGTGCAAGACCAGACCTAAGCAGCAAGGGAAACTCAAGGTCACCATGCAAAATCCGAAATAATAAATATATAAATACAGGGCAGAGAGGAAAGAGCTCATCTCCCACTCAGCAGGGCAGAAGTTTCAATAAATAAATAATAAAAAGCGAGCAGTCATTGCTGCCACTGACATCATTCAAACAGCTTTGGCACAAAAGCTGCAAGCAGATCCACTCTGATACAATTAATTCTAGCAAATCCAAACATTGCAATTTTTTCACTAAATCTGCTTATTAATTTAAGCATTACACAGCAAAATCATGCACACCACCTTAGGTTTTTCTTTTGGTATTTTCAGAAGTGCAGTGAGGACATTTTATGAGGAACTGAGAATACTCTGCCCCCAATTAGAAACACACAGTAATAACCTGTTGTCCTTAAGCTACCAGAAACAGATTTCCACATGGTGCACAGACAGTGCCTCCCAAAAACACGATAACCTTCCTTAAACTAAAGGTTAACACGAAAGTATTTTGAGGTTAAAAACAGCATTAGGTTTCTTGTTAACTAATCATGCTCAGACACTGTTTCTTCACATTTAATGTCATCATCGTGAGATCACGAAATTTCAGGAAAGATACTAATGCACGTAGAAAACAAAACAAAACAAAGAAAACCACACACAAAATATAGCAGCTAATTTAAAAAAAAAAAATCAAAACATACCAAAACTCTTGGCAGCGGAGCAGAAAAAAGAAAGATGGAAGCAGCGCTACATTACTGGAGGCTCCTGTATGCACCATTTTGCAGACTAAGCAGTAAATACGTAGGCTTACTCTTGTTTATTTTTTTAAATTAGCACATTCATATATTTGCCAATTCTTTAGTTTCCAGACCTTCACTGCTAGTACGTGGTGGCAGTGTCACCTCCTTAACCTCAGTTCAGGAAGAATCTTCTCAAACCTTATGGGTATCTATTAATAAAAATCAGCCAAAAAGTGAAAGTTTTTTTTTTTTTTTTTATGAAAACAAATCTTTACGAGATTCTTCAGAAATGGTGCTATTTTAAGTATCCTTCAGCCCTCCCTATATTCCACAAAGGTACACTTATATGGACCAGATTTTTGATTTCCTCAGATTTCATCTGCTCCCTCACCTAAATCACAGATGGATGTAGACAGAGCAAATGCAATTTCTACTCCTGCCTTTGCATGGAAAACTGAAGGGAAGGAGGAGAAAACACACTAAAATTTACATATACATGAAGTAGCTACAGCTCCATTAGCAAATCTGAAAATCTCCATGATAGAAAGGTAATTAGGCCTGTATTTTTTCTCCACATTATGGAGCTTTATACCTTCAAAATGCTTCACAAACATTAGCTGCATGAGACCCTTGCTAATCCACACTTCCCTAGATTGCATCCCCCAATCTGCCCCACACCCCAGTTGAAAGGCAAGGAGATGGCACCAGCAGAAGCAACAAGGAAGTCTCCAATTACAACACCCTAGAGCACATTTAATAGTAAATTGATAAAGCATCCAGATTTCATAGTTAAATTACAGGGCTTTGTATTCCTGTGTTTTCATAATTACAATCACATTTTTTTTTTCCTATGTTGTCTTTTCAAGTTACTTTTTTGTTGAACTAAAACCAGCTAGTTGAGTCAGAGAACTGCAAATCCCAACAAAACACAGCTACAGTATTCGCAGACTCACAGAATGGTTGAGCTTGCAAGGGACCCCTAGAGCTCATCCAGTCCAACCTCACTGCTCAAGCAGGGACACCCAGGGCACGGGGCACAGGGTATTCTCATCCCTATCTGCTAGATGGGGAAAATGGACATTGCAGAATTATTTTCCCAGACGTAGTGACTGTCAAACCTCAGGCTGTCCCACTGTCTTTCCGGGGCTTCGGAACACCTTGCTGAGGATCACAAACCCACCAGGTGCAGTTTCACGCCACTCATTACCATGCTGCTTTATTGTGGAGTGCCACGAAGCGTCTGCCAAGAACGGGGGACACGCTGGCCAACACCAGGCTGCTCTGGAGTATTTTGACCGAGAATCCGTCTATCATGACTCACTGGCAGCAACCACCGTCAGCAGCAATCGACCTGGCGGCTCCAGGCTGATGCATCATAGTTGCCTAAATAGCAGCGTCTCCAAATAGCTTTTCTTCACTACAAAATTTAGCCAGACTATTTCAGTATGTCTTAAAAAAAATATATCAAAGAGCTTTCTTTTAAAAGGTGACATTTGCTCTCTACAGTTGGTTTGTGAGCTGGAGAACACACTTGCAAGGAAATAGATTCATTCGGAAAGCATAAGTTTAAATAAAAAACAGGAGTCTTAGGATGATGTATGCTCCATGAAACCCTAAAGAAATGTCATATTGAGCCTTAGCAAAGCCAGCACAGAGAGGACAAAACCCAGAAGCGTCAGAGGACACGAGTCTAGAGGAATTACAAGCCTGATCACCCGCCCAGCATCGCTACCCCGTCCTGCGCCCGCGCAGGGTCGCGCCGCGCGCGTCGCTCTTCGTTCGCCAGCCCTCGAGGCTTCTCGTCGCGGAGAGGAAAGAGCGAAGGCGCCGAGCCCCGCGGGGCTCTCCAAGCTCACGGGGAGCAGCACAAGCAGCTCCCTCGAAACCTCCCGTCTCCCACCTTTGCTTTGCACACCCGCCCAGCATCGCTACCCCGTCCTGCGCCCGCGCAGGGTCGCGCCGCGCGCGTCGCTCTTCGTTCGCCAGCCCTCGAGGCTTCTCGTCGCGGAGAGGAAA